ATTCTCCTTTTAGAAAAGTAGCTGTATGACTTATACATGAAAAGTATGAAAACGGCTTTTAGTTTTTGTAGGGGATGTAAAATTTAACAGTTTGAATAGGACTACAACTCCAAAACAACAAAATGGCATCGCTGCACATTGACCGATGCACCTCAGGAGCATCAAGAAAATAACTTTATCTAGTATGATGCATACTTCAAAATAACTTGGAATAACTTGCAGCCTGCAGATCTTCCCCAACACGAAGAAAGAAGTCTCCAAAACTCCTTTTTGTATTGCAGAAGTAATTGCTGTTGTTTTTGTTTAATTATCAGCTGCCCAATGGACAGTACCATGATTTACAGATACTATCCAAGCAGTTCAGTACAGAGGTTTTCTATCAAGTCGTTTCGTTTCCTCCGCACTAGCAAACGACTCGTTTACCTTCACTGTGAACTGTTGGTTTGTCATCGTAATTCAACCAACTCAAGGTGTTCATCTGGTTGTGTCGGGTCTAGGCGACGTCGTGATACTGATGACTACGATGATACAAGTAATTCGTATGGCTTATCAACTGGTCCCATTGCTGGAGATAAGATTGATTTGAGTGAAACTGATCAGAACAAAGGTAGACTTACTGTTGTATAACTCATAAAACGAGCAGAATGTACACAGGGAGCCCACACTCAGCACTAGTGGATATTATCACAAAGGCAAAAAAACTCTGAAAAAACAAACAGTTTGTTTATGGCGAAATAACAGTATGTGTTTGAGTTTGAATGGCTTTTATTGAGAATATCACGCGAAATTTTCATTTTCGGACACATTTTGAACAAAGTTTTAAGCCTGGGCTACCTGAGCTTACTTTACTTAAAAAATGCTCTCATCTCTTTGTAAGACCTTTTCATTTCAAAATAAGAAAAAAATATACCATGCGACGGTTACTCATTAACTAGTTTTTGCGGTTAAGTAAAAGGTTTTCTAAGCGTGAAACGGCAACTATAGTCTTCAGGCGGCAAACTCTGTAGAAATGTCAAGTCTAGAGAAACAACATCACAGGAATAATGCAATGTTGCTATGAAATAGATAAAACAATTAATCGTTAACATTTAGTAAAGAAACTGTTCTTTATATATATCTATAATATCAATGTAGGTACCGAGCACAAGGTTCAAGGCATGACTATTGGTCTTAGTGTGATGGGAGGGGTGCTGGCGTTAGTTTGTGTAGCCGTCATAATGAAGCTCGTTCACGCGAAGGTTTTGAAGTCAAGGAAGAGCAGATCTGCTTCTGCATATGAGGTCAAAACCAACGAGGGATCAGCAGCTTCTAACCTCGACGATTGTCCTACTGAACACGCGGTGAATGCCTACGATGGGCCAGCGGCTTTCCAGCTGGATGAAATAGCGAAACCCTGACCTTGAACTATGACTTAAGTTAACATGTCTAAACACTCCTTGATTTTTAATCTTTTAGTAAAAAGATCTAATTGATAGGATATTGTCAGGTTCAAAAACTCCATGCAGTACGTCATTGAAAAATATTTGCGAAATTATGCGCATAGAGTTTTGCTTTCAGTTTCTTAGCTTTACACAATCACGGCCTTCTCTACGGAAAATGCATGTAATGTACCAACGTACGTGTGGATATTAGAGCGGATTTCATATGAGTGGGACACCGTTACCGCACGGTTACCGCACAGTTACCGGACCTTGCCTTCACCATTTTGGTGAACCAATGGGGCACTAGAATTTGGTTACAGTACGATTACGGTCAAAGTAAAGTACCGTCCGTTTCCCATTCATACGAAATCCGCTCTAACGGGTGTGTCACACTTTTATTAGTAGCGTATCCAGTTACTTTGAACAATCGCACGTTGCTTTCCTTAAGATCAAATTAGACGTCACAACTGTTGCCAACAACCGCATACAACCTGCCTAAGCCAATGATGGTTGGGCTGCCTGCTTGGTTTAATGGCTGGGCTGCCTGCGTGGTTTATGTGCGTGAAGTACAGCGGGGAATTCTCAATTTATACCTGCGACTGTCGTGGTGATTCGAATCAATTGACTAATAGCCTAAAAGATTTGGTAACCATGTTGTAAGGATGACTTATTCTCAACATGCATCGTTCACAGAGGTCCTGGTCGTTCATAACGCCATCGTACGTGAGAAAGCATTTCACGGATTTGCTGTCATGCATACATGCTTCGTTGACTTATGCAGGYTGCATGCGATGGTAGTAAGTTCTGTCGTCTAAATCGGCCTTGAAAACCTTTGCACCTACAGAATATACTACCAATGATTGTCAGACCATTTTATATTAAGCAATCCTTCTTAGAAAACCTGCGATCCTAGACGCACCTATGTGTATATTGAATATGTAATCTAAACTTTAAACTTCATGCCAAGTCGTTTTTCTTGCTTTTTGAGCAGCACGTAGTGCATGAAGTACAGTTTCACTTCAAGCATTGCAGAAGAAAAGGCAAAAATGGTTACGAGTCCTGTGTTGCAGTTGTAGCTTGATTTAGTATGAAAGAGGTTTTAGAAAAAATCATAATCAGTTTAATTTAGATAACAGTACAGCGCTTTGACTGGTTTACAGCAGAGCTTTTTCATATCAGCTGGCAATATATATTTGCTTGTTATTGGTGATCACTAATAAATCTCTTTGAGTTGCAGTGTTTTATTAGAAACCAGCATTTGCATTGTTCATTCAGTCACTATGTGGCCTCATTTCTAAACAGTGCGGGTTCTTTACTCTAGTAAGAAGATCCCCCCTCCCACCCCCTACTGATAAGCATAGGGTATGACATTCCGAACAGTTATTACAATATATCTAAGGCAATAATGTTCTAGCCAATTCTTTAAGATTAGGGTTAGGACAAGGTGCTGTTGAGAATGAAGTATTTAGCGTTTATATAATTCATTATTCATCGTATGAGGAAGTGGCTGATCCCATTAAAGAGTGCTCAATACACATAAAGTGTAGAGCTAGTTATATATATGATATCAAAGATTTTGCTGTAACTCCGAATTTCGTGCTACGCACTCATCAGACAGTATTTAATGATAAAAAATCCTATAATCTAGATATATATCATGGTATAGAACAAAAGGCTAAGTGCCAGGCTATTTACATACAATAAGTGATAGTTATGCTAGAAACAATAGCTGGTGTGAATACAATAGGCTGTAGAGGTGTCAAGTGTTCTTCAGGTAGAATTTGTTTTCGTGTCGGCATTTAGAGATGAGTTCTGATCTTTTGTTTAGTATATTGTCGTTACTGTGTAATCCAGTGTAATCTACAACGCGCAAGTCACAACCAGCAACACAACCAAGAACTACATCGGACTGACCGAAGGAACATTCAAACAAAGATTCTCGATCGCAGCACAAATCTACATTTAAACACAGAAAACATATCAGCAGCACCGAACTTTCTAGGTACATCTGGCAACTAAAAGAAAAAAAAAACAGACTTCAACATCAAATGGACAATTATCAGCCGTGCAAGACCCTACAACAACATATCCAAACGATGCGACCTCTGCCATACAGAAAAACTTATGATAATTAAACACATCTTTGCAACTTTGTATCTTTGTATCTTTGTATCTCTGTATCTCTGTATCTCTGTATCTCTGTATCTCATTGTAGTGTAGGCCTTAATAGTATACTCTCCTTTGTAATTTTTACACTGTAGTTATTCTGCGATTTGCTTGCATTTCAAACCAATATTAATCTAAGAAATTAATCAACGAGATACTGTCAGAGAGATACTGTTTGCAAGCACACTGTTTGGGCTCCCTGTGTAATTTTCAATTATATTGTTCAAGAACGCAAACATTAAAAAAACGCACTGTACGAACAAAAGTCAAATGCAAGGCGAAAAAATTGATTTAAAGTGATAAACTGTTCTAGCTGATACAAAAATGTTTTCTAAACAACATCATCTACTTTTATATTTGCTATTTTTGTGTGTAAATTGTGTGTAGTAACTTAAGTCCGTAGAAAAGTATAATTATTGTTTACAATATTTCTATCGCCACACATGAACACGCCTATTTCCACATTCAAGTACAAAAACTCGACCATCTGGGGTAACTGTGATATCTACTGGTGAATTCATTTGACCAAGACCTGAACCACTGCCACCAAAAGACCTTATGAACTGACCGTCTTGATTCAGCATCTGAGCACAGTCCTTATAAGAATCACAAACAAGGATTACATCACTTATAACAGCAAAACCACATGGACGTTTGAACTGTCCATCTCCATTTCCTTCCTCTCTAAATGTGTAGAGAAATCCACCGCTATTATCATAAACCCTGATAGAGTGTCTGTTTGTATTTGATACAAAGTATTTACCATTGCCATAAGTAATGTAACAAGGTATATCATTATTGTTAACAGAAGGAATTTCTTGCATTATTTCACCAGATTGTTTATTGAATACTTTTATTCCTGACTGAGGTCTGTTTTGGATTTTATAACAAACTGCAATGCTTTCATGTGCTGAACACATAACAGATAATTGAACACCTCGCTGTTTGTAAATAGTTCTGCAGTAGGTACCATTCAAGTCAAACTCCTGTAATCGTCCGGTACCATCGCTATTATCTGTAACAAGTAAACGGTCTTTATTAAAGACCACACGACCTGGATAGGTAAGTTGACCTTTTCCTGTTCCTTTGTCGCCAAAATGTCGCAAATATTCACCATCAATACTGAATACTACAATACGATGATTAGCATAGTCAGCAATGGCTACCTCTCCTCTATCACTTACTGCTAGTGACTGGGGATAGTTTAACTGTCCCCTTGCACTTCCTTTCTCTCCAAAGGTTTTCACAGGTTTAAACTCGTCTCTGACATCACGTGTCTTCACAGTCTGTGGTGAGTTCTCGATCTTTTGTCCACCAATTCTTACATGGATTGTGTAATCACATGTTTTTTCTGCTCGGTACGTCACGGTGTATTTCCCAGTATCACTTTGACTCACTTCCTTCTCTACATTAATGCCATCGSCATCTTGGATTTGAACATCAATGGATCCTTGACAAGTAATGTGAGGTTGTTTCTGGGAATTTTGAGTTACAACCTCAAAACGATTGACAAAGCCACACCTGATGTCATTTAGATTTTCAATTGAACAACATGAAGTTTCAGTCACGCTCTCCACAACCTTTCCAATATCTTGCAGGGCTTGCGTGACTTGTTGGTTGTGTGTGTACCGTACACTTGCGTTACGTTTAATTGGTTTGCTGGCCAATATTGATTGTATTTCAAGAAATGTTTCACATCTTTGAGAAAGATCATGCTGGATTTTGACAATGAAATGTACTACATTTTCATCGACCAATGTCTGACCTCGAAGGTTGAATTCAGAAAGTCGTTCGATTTCATCACGTATTTCTCTTTGTTCTTCGTCGTTCTGTGTTTTCTGTTGCTGAAGTTTAGTCTGCAGGGTTTCAATCACAGCTGTTTTATGTTCTCTCAAGACTTTGAAGTGTTTCTCGACTTCATCGCTGACTTCCTTTATTGCTGCGTTAGTTTCTTGTTCAATTCTTGTCATATTCTTCTTAGATAGTTCAAGTTCTTTTTCGTAATTTTCTTTAACTTTCAGCATTCGATTCATATCTCGCATTATTAACACTTTTACTTGTTCTGCTGCTTCCTCAACGGTCACTGTGCGGTGTAGTTTGTGTTCTGTTGCGTTACATTTCAGGCAAATACATTCTTTGCATGTTGTACAGTAAAAGTCCAACTTATTGTTGTCGTGATATCTTTTCTTACAATGCATTCGGTTTTTGACATAGCAGTCTGGCAATTCTTGCTGTTCTCGAGAGTCAGCACTTATTCTCACATTGTGAAGAAGTTGCAATTGAGGTTGAAGATGAAACGAAGAAGGAAGACTAGACACGTCATTGCCTTCGAGTCCCTCTATTGCCTTACATAAAGGACACGTAAGTGGTCGTCTTTCCCGTCTGCATGACGCGTTCCAGTCAGATATGCATTTCAGACAGAAACTGTGTAGACATTTCAACGTCTTCGGGTTGGTAAAGATCTCTGYACATATAGAACAAGTGAGTTCTCTTTCAAGATTGTTCGCAAACTCATTGAGTTCCGCCATTGTGCTAAGGGCGTCTGAATTCTTCCCGGAAAAACTATTTTTATCTTACATGTAATGACGTTGTTATGACAACTCGGCGTGACCTGTTAGTGTATACCTATATATCAATAATAAAAAWGAAAAAAAAAGAAAAGAAATTAAAAGGAATCATCGTTTGTTAAAAGAAGCTTCTCAATTTCAGAATTAAAGGAAAATCAGTCTGAATCATTTTCTCAGCTGTTAACTGGAATGTCATGCGCATGCGTGACTTATTAATTCATAATGATTCGTTTTGAAACATTTGAGTGTCTCATGTCGCAGCAAACTATGGTTTATTTCATATGTACATATACAACCTGGGATTCGTCTTCGGGTTGGTAAAGATCTCATCACATATGGAACTAGACGCTCTTGGAGCGTGAAGTCGGGCTAGCTATTTTGGAAAATTGAGAAATTACTTGGATTTGCGAATACGTGAATAGCGAAAGAGTTCAACACGATAAGATAAAATTCGTATCTAAAAAAACATGTAATATTCTGACAGTCATATAATTATATGAAAGTAATTTATGGCGTAGAATACCTTATCTAGTTTGTTTATTTCCCGCACCGCGATATTCTTTTCTGGTGGCTTGTCGCAACAAGGGCGCTAGAACTGAAATTATGACCTATATGAAGATCCAAAAATTGCTTAATTTATCCAACATAAGATAGTCGATAATAAATTGTAAAGTTTTACTTATCTGAAAAATACACTGAAATGTCCTCTTAGACACTAAAAAGCACTTGATTTTACGAAATTCATCCAAATGATCGTTACTCAAGCGGTTGTTGCTGAATTTATTACCGCTGTCCTTGTTGTACCAGCCACTGCTGTCTCGCCAGGTACGTTATTCATTAACCGGATTAAAATCACTTTGCCCTGGCCGAACACCAAAAGAGACAGGGGCAGGCAATAACTAGCGGCCCCTTTGACCACTCGTCTGACTCACTAATCGGATTAAGTTGACAGGACCTAGGGACACTGATGACAGATTAGTCCTGGCCGAGCGAGTCTTCGTAGGCCCGAAATAGTAAAAATACGCTACCGTCGCGATGTTTTATAACTCGTCGGGTTTCGAATTAGCCTGATTTTCAGACGGGGCCTGGGTCCTACGCTTCTCTAAAATCAGGCTAGTTTCGAATCGAAAGTCATCTAAAAGTTGAGCGAAGCGCTCGTCAATAATTTTTGTTACATATGAAACTAAAATGTGAGTGTGTTGAATTCGTGTTTAAAAACGTTGAATTGAGAAATAGAAACAGTACATTTTAAAGCTTTTAAGCAGCATTATAGGCAAAGTGTCAGTCGCATAAACTTGTTTAAACGGTGCTTTACGACTAACATTTAGCTTTCATTTCGGTTTCTTCCAAATGGACTTGAACTTAGATTTCGGCCAGACACTTTGTCCATTTGACCATCCTCAAGACGAGAGCGTTTTAGTTCAAATCCCGACCTCTGACGAGGTCACATTCGGGCCTACGAAGACTCGCTCGGCCAGGACTAATCTGTCATCAGTGTCCCTAGGTCCTGTCAACTTAATCCGATTAGTGAGTCAGACGAGTGGTCAAAGGGGCCGCTAGTTATTGCCTGCCCCTGTCTCTTTTGGTGTTCGGCCAGGGCAAAGTGATTTTAATCCGGTTAATGAATAACGTTCCTGGCGAGACAGCAGTGGCTGGTACAACAAGGACAGCGGTAATAAATTCAGCAACAACCGCTTGAGTAACGATCATTTGGATGAATTTCGTAAAATCAAGTGCTTTTTAGTNACTGTGTAGACATTTCAACGTCTTCGGGTTGGTAAAGATCTCTCCACATATGGAACAAGTGAGTTCTCTCTCAAGATTGTTCGCAAACACATTGAGTTCCGCCATTGTAGTGGTGAGCGTCTGAAACTTTCCCGGAAAAACTATTTTTATCTTACACGTAATGACATTGCTATGACAACTTGGCGTGACATATTGGCGTCTAAGGAAGAAAGAAAGGAAAAGACAAGAAAAAAAAGAGAAAGAAAAAAGAATCAGTGTTTGTTGAAAGCAGCTTCTTAATTTCAGAACTAAAGGRAAATCAGCCTCAAAATAATTGAAGCTCTCTTCTGAGAGGAATGTCATGCGTGACTTATTAATTCATAAAGATTTGTTTCGAAACATTTGAGTGTCTCATATCGCAGCAAACCATAGTTTATTGTCATATGTACATCTACCATCTGTAATGTCCATGTTTTGAGCTAAACTAAGTGATTTATTATACAAGAAACTTAGTATTTATCAGTGAAAAAAAATATCAATATAGTATTAATGACATTAATCAAAATAGTTCGAATAACTCGTCTCTGTTGGTTGACTAGTGACAATGGATGTTTAGAGATTTTAGATCTATCCAGCTGAAATTGAAATAGTTATATATAATTTATACTTTGAGCATTGCTGTACGATCTGTGATCACGAGTATTTTATATAACTAATTGAAAAAACGTAGTCGTGTTCGAAAAGGTCACATCATAGAAGCTAAGACCGTTCAAGGGATTTTGAGTACCACTAAATAGGGATTACATTTGCATATACGGTGTACCGTAAAGCAGGTAGAGCTAGTAAGATGAACAGCATGCTAGTCTTTTATGCTGGAGAGCTGTTTGTTATGAAATTAGCCAAATTTGTCTTCCCAACCACCCTTTCGGTCTTAGATTCTATGATTTGACCTTTTTGGACCCGACAACGTTTCTTCAATTAGGTGTATCAATTCATATCTAATAGACATCACATTTACTGAAGTTCAAAATCATGGTGCTTCGTGGCCTAGATAGTAAAAACAATATCATAATTTGACATAGTAAACAAACGTTTTTTACCGATATGTTGTTCTTTACAAAACTGTAGTATAGGGTAAAGGTGCTGTGAAAGAGGCTTCTGTATATTATTCTAGAGTGCCAAAGAAAACCGTGTTAATACATGTGATAAATAGGCTAACACTCAAGAAATAAACTTAGTTTATAGAACGTACAGAACACATACAACGTACAGAACACATACAACGTATAGAACGAACAGAATGTACACGGCGCATACAATGTACAGAAGGTACTGAATACAGAGAAAGCACTGTTGTATAAATCTATAGGTACTGCTAAACGAAGAGTGATCTATGACGTCATTTGGAGACCTTTATATGAAGAATGAACCCATTATATTTAGTCACGACAGTTCAAAGCGAAAAACAAAATAAAACTAGACGATCATGGATCGCTTACGTGGGCTTCCTGTGACAATGGTGTTTCATTTTCACAATATAGTCTTTGTTTGTAATAAGTCAAGACAGAATTAAGTTAATATGTTATCAATTTATTACATCATAATTTTTTACCGAACTGAACTCTAAGTAAATTGGATACCATGTCTTTCTCAGTTTTCCAAAATAACTAGCTCGACTTTACGCTCAAGAGCGTCTATATTATTCGAAATATCTGATAGGTCATATAGGTCACATAAACAATAGAAACGGTACAGTCTTGGCAGTATAACTTTGAATAATATTTTGATCATTTTAATCATGTATCTGTATCTTGTGTTTCTGTTCTTTTTTATTTTGTGTTTATCATTAATTTGTAAATCTGGCGTTCTGTGCCATCATAAAGATGTACCTTAGCCTTCTAATGACAGTTCATATTTTTGGATTTGTCTAAGTTTTTCAAGTTAAACAATCATCAAAACAAACAATAGAGAATTAAAATGCTTCATACACAATATATATTTTGTATACAGAGTTCAGTAAAGCTCACACGTGCAGTTTTCCGAACTTCAAACACATCGTTAGTTTAGAAAATGGCATCAATATTTTTCAGATGAG